CCGCGCTTTGTGTACCTGCGGTGCCTGTTTTGAGACGCTCGGCAGCATCTCAATGAGGGAGCAAGCACCCGGCTGCTTCCCCTCCTGCTCCCTGCACTGTGTCCCCATCCATCCATCTGCTGCTGCCTCACTAACCCTCTTCATATATCTGCATAGGCAGGATGGGGTTGCTTTATCTCTTCCCAAAAGAATGTAGTAAATGGGATCTTTATTTTCCCAAGTGCCTGGCTTTCAAGGTGCCTGCTTCTTGTCATCGCTGTTGGGGCGCAATTACAGAAGCGTGCAGCTGTTCAGTGGGGCTTGCTGATGCTACCGGTCCCTCTGCTGCACTCCCCTTGAAATGTCCACACTGATCCTCTCTGTGTTCCTTTGCTAGAGGAGCTGCGTGAGTGTGGTGTGCACGAGTGGCTGGCGTCGCTGTCTTTCAGTGACCCTGATTGTCCAGACCTGCAGCTGACCATGGGAGCAGTAATCGTGGAGGAAATGCGGGCAGCTGTAGAAGCAGCCACTGGATTCAGATGTTCAGCTGGGATTTCGCACAACAAGGTATGTGTGTAACACATCAGCCAGGCTTCTGAGGGCAGAGTCAGAACGTGCTGTTAGCAGTGTCATGCTCTTCTGAATCTCTGTGTGATAGAGGATGAGCAGAGTGCGGTGTGCAGCCATGCCTGAGAATGCATTCAGGGAAATCAGGACATGTGAGAAGACGATTAAATGTTTTTTCCTCAAAGATAGGAACTATGTAGTTGGAGCTGAATTAATTTACTGGCTTGGTTCCTGGTATAGCCTAACTAGTTAGTTTACTATGAAGAAATGGCTTCCAAATTCCCCAGGAGAGTTTTCTTTACAAACAACAGAGCTTAAAGAAGGTGTCCTCCTCCCTGAGGTTTGAGGGACAGTGGCTGTAGCTGTGGAATGGTTTTCACTGACACAAATTCCCAGTTACTTGGAAGAAGAATACCAGCTCAGTGGCACTAAGGTGCATCAGTTTGTTTTTCCTCCGTCTGGTCAATCAATCTCCAGCACCTACCGGCTGTGCTATGGGTGATGCTCAGGCAGCTGCTGAGAGCAGCCACAGGAGCACTTCGTGCATGACAGCAGCTGCAGAAACAAACCGACTTTGATGCTGCAACTATAGAGGTTTCCTGCTTGGTGATATGCAGAGTGGTTTGCTGAGACCTAACGCTTGTTTCAGTCTTTGCCAAAAAAGGCTTATATGTACGGTTAAGATTTAAAAGATGCAGGTTGTGGCCAAAAAAAAAGAAAAAGAGAAAGACTAAACAGATGCTTTGAAATTTCAGGGAGATGAAGTTCATTCTAGGATGCTGCCGAACCAATTTGAACTATTACCAGCCATTTGTGTATCCTGGAGCTAGTTTTGCACAGGCTCACCTTAAAATGAGAGAGGACTGTGATGCAGGGATGAGCTAGCTTAGGAAGAGTGCTGATGCAGGAACTTCTGTCAGAAGGGATGTTCAACTTTTCTTTTCCCTCTAAAGGGAGGTGGGAAGAACAGAGACTGTCCCTGCTAGGAAGGCCACCGTCTTCACCGTATAAGTAGTTCCTGGATAGCACGTGACAGGGCCAGGAGCTGGAAGTGGCAGTATGTTGTGAGAGGCAGCAAGCTGTAGTTCCCAGCTGTTACGGTGGTTCAAAGTTGGTAGAAACTGCTACCTCTGAGAAGCAAAGTATTACAATGTTAGGTGACTAGCAGCATCTTCCACATTCCATCAAGTTTCTACACCAGCATTCTTAACTTTTTCTAAATGGAGTAAGAAAGTTTTCATGTACTGTGCTATCCCTGAATGACTGTATAGCTATACTTATGCCAGTGAGCACGGTGCAGAGATCACCAGGTTAAAAGCCTATATGTAGCTGTGCAGAACATGCTACGTTGCTTCCACAGCCAGCTTATCTCTGTACATATGAGCCTTTTTAGCAACGACTGGAACAAGCATTAGGTGCTCTTAGTAAACCCTCCTGTATATTGCCAAGCAATGAACCTCTATAGCTGCAGCACCAAAGTCGGTTTGTTTCTGCAGCTGCTGTCATGCACGAAGTGCTCCTGCGGCTGCTCTCAGCAGCTGGCTGAGCATCACCAGAAGCACTACTGCAACTACAGATGTGAGGTGTTGACCTTAAGGTTCCTGATGCATTTCTGCCTAAATGTCATAAGCTGAAGATGCCAGCCTGGAAAAACAGGACATGAATGAGGTGACCAAAAGGTGCCTTCATCTAGCTGGAAAAAGAAATTGTATGTCATAAAAAAACTTTGTCCAGTGACTTGCAGTCAAATTGAGATATTTTTAAAGTTGGATCCTGGAGGGGTCTCTCTGAGGCCCAGTAAAAGTCAGTCTTTTCAGTGAAGCTTGGCAAGAGAGGGAACAGTTGCAGGAGCTGCAGATGATGCTAAGCACTGATGGGGCTGAGGGCCTTGGCTGTAAGAGTTTTGGAAGAGGGAATTAGAGCTGCAAATTCTGATCTTGGGAAGGTCCAGAAATGCTCTGAAATTATCAAGCAGCACTTCCTGTGGTCCTCACTGACGGTTTGAGTGGCCTAAATGGAGAAGGAAATCAAGTATGTGAACTAGGAGGCCTTTCGCTAAGCCTGGAGTAAGCCTGCAGTTGCAGTAAGCCTGGAGTTAAGATGGACAATCAGCAGGATGAGTCAGTTTTATGAGTACTGTTGTGGAAATGATGAATCCTGTTTCAGCTTGTGCTACTTTAGAGAAGTGACAAAAAAGTAAATTAATCTGCCCTGTGAAGTCTCACTGGTTGTTTCAGCTTGAGGCACTTTACTTCAGGAACAATGTGAGTAAACTTAGAAGGCTGTCTCCAGTGAAACAAGAGGAATAATAATCAGACATCTGGAATATGACTGGATAGGAAAAGTTGAAGGAAATGGATCTGTCTTGTCTAGAGAAGAGTGAGAACGTATGTAAGCCTGTAAAAGAGGCTGTTAATACGAATTATAGCTTAATATGCCGGAAAGGAGTTTTGCTTATAACTATAAGATGGGTGATAAAGCTGTGAAAGAGGAAATTATTAGACTTTAAAAAAAAATCAGCTGTATCTATTTCAGGCTGGTCTGGGTATTCCTAATCCTGGGTTAGACTACAGTGGGAGGGGAAGCTGTGTAGTAAATAGGCTAGAGAACATTTCTCCCAGGCCAGCATTTCTGTATCTTGCAGATTTCCTTCTGTAGCACTATGCTGCTGTGGACCTTGCAGAGAGAAGTTTAAAATAGTCACATTGGGAAAAAGCAAGACAGAAACAGAAGATGAAGGAGAAAAGGCTCAGAGAGAGAGAAAAGTAGCCTGGGGAGGATAGTGAGGATGCTCTGGAAGCTCTAGCATGCTGACCTGTTGAAAACTAAGCCAGCCAGACCATGTGACAGACCCCAAACTGCGTGGAGCAGGAGCCTGACCTTTTTGCAGAGCTACAAGCGTGGAAGCAGCAGTGTTAGTCTCTGGGAGCAAACAACGGTGCAACCTGTATGTCCGCCATAGCAGAACTGTTCCGGAGGCAGTCCTTAGCTAGAGGTGGTACAGTACAAGCTGTTCGGCAGCATCCTTCACAATAAAGTCAATGCAGAATTTGTAATAACAGGCTTTCCACCCTCTCTTGTGTTACAGGCACTGGCAAAACTGGCCTGTGGGTTGAACAAGCCCAACCGCCAGACACTAGTATCTTCACGATCTGTCCCACAGCTCTTCAGCCAGATGCCTGTTAGCAACATGTAAGTGCTGGGGAGCCTCTTGCTCTTGTGCAGCCTGGGGCTCAGGCTCAGTTGCTCTGTGGCAAGAGCGTGTGGTGGAAGTGCTGGCACTGTGCTTCCACAGCCTACGCTTTCATTGGGAAGAGAGCCCTGCTTGTCTTCGTTGCTTTGGTACGAAATTGCTCCTGGCCAGCTCAACAGACAGTAATTTGATGCTAGTTGGTAACAGCCAGCAGAGGGCTTTCAGCGTTCACCACAACCAAAGACTGGAAGAAACAGAGAGGGAATCCTGCTAAGAATCCTGCACAGCTGCGAGTGACAGTTCAGGGAGAGCATGCTTGGGAGCTGCAGCTCTGCCAGTGAAGGCGCACGCTCGGAGAACCCACCAGTATCTTTTGGGCAGCCTTTCCCCGGGTAGATCTATGCTCAGGGTGCCTGCTGAGATGTATGGCTGCTGGCCAGCAGTAACCCTTACCAGGGAGGCCGCAGGCAATGCCCCAGTATGAGGGACAGAGAGAGTCAAGCTCCGAGAGAGCAGGAGCGGTTTAGTGTTGAACATTCCAATTCGCACGAGTGCTGCTCCTTGGTGGGGAAGAGCTGTCAGCTCTGCTACTCCAGGGGGAGCACTAGTTCAGCTCTCCAGACCTGCAAACTGCTCTCTTGCCTTCAGCATATCGTTGGTGATGGAGAAGGGTGCACTTGTTGGAAGGGTCCTGCCCAAGCAGGAAGGAAGCAGGGAGTGTATGAGGCATTATTCAGGGCACGGTTTGGGAGCACACTTCAAAAGATGGAGCTGAGGGAGAGGCAGTGGAACTGGGTGAGCTCTGAGCTCTTCCCACTTCCCCTCTTTCTATTACAAGTGGAAGAGCTGTTATGCGCTAAGTGTTCTCTTTTGTCCTAGAGTCCCTTTTGTCCTAGAGCCTGTTAGAGCAGCCTACTTCCTTGCTTGGCCTGCTTCTAGCTGCTCTGGATCAGGGCAGCTAGCTGATGGAGACTTGGCGTAGTCTTCACGTGATGCCTCATTTGTGTTCCCTCTCTCCCTCTCTCTCCTGTAGCCGAAACCTGGGGGGGAAGCTGGGTGCTGCCATCACAGACATCCTCGGAGTGGAGTACATCGGGCAGCTGACACGGTTCAGTGAAATGGAGCTCCAGACTCACTTTGGAGACAAGACGGGGTAATGATGCACCACTTGCCACAACTTGGCTCTTGTCAGGAAGGGAGTCTTCCTTCCTTTTGGTGGTGGGTTGTTCTGCTGTGGTTAGGAAGGTTGGAAGGTAAAACCTGAGGAAGGTTTTACTTTGGGTCTTTGAGGGTACAGAAGTAATGGTCTGGCAGGCCCATGAACAGGCTTCCAGTCCTGCGCTTTCCCGGACGCCCTCACCAGGCTAATGTTTTGCCTGCCAGCCAGCTCCTCTGCCTTGCTCTGCAGGATGTCTAAGGACAGGGCTGAGCTGTACAAGGGCTCGTATCAAGCTGGAAGGCATGTGGGCTTGATGGTCTCATTACACAGGAAATTATAAGGCTGGACTGGAGCCTGAAGCACCCCTTTTGGGCCCAGAACAGCGGTTGGGAAGCTATGCAGACTGGTGAACTTCTGTCACCTTAGGAGAGGAGGCAGAGGAGCTGAGCCGACGGGTAGTCGAGGCCTGAAGGGAACCTGCCTGCTCAGCTGTGGCAGCATTTGCAGAGTTGGGGGTGAGAGGCAGAGCCACAGCTTGTCCAGAGCTGAAAACATGGGTCAGCAGAGGGGTGGTTTGCTGTCCAGCAGTGCACGTGCGCCTGTCCGTGGGCAGAGAGAGAAACAGCGTGTCACTCCTGACGAGCATCGGTGCAGGGCCTGAATCCGAGAGTGCTTGTTGTGCCAGCGCCAGGGCTGTCACCTCTGACTGGACTGAGGACAGCGAGTTATTATCCACTGGCACATGCAGGACCACTGCAGTGGGTGTCCCTGGGCCCCAGGTTCACTGGTGCCTATAGGGGCTGTCTAGCTGCCTTTACCTCCTGTTTCCTCTGGGGCTTTCAGGTCCTGGCTCTATGACCTGTGCAGAGGAATTGAAGATGAACCTGTTAAAAACCGCTACTTAACCCAGTCCATTGGCTGCAGCAAGAACTTCCCTGGGAAGACAGCCCTGGCCACACAGAAGGAGGTAGGAGAGGCCGGTGTCTGGCCTTTGGACTGGAGGAGGCGAGGACGCTCAAAGCTGGGACTAGCTTGCAAAAGCTGCTGCTTTTCTGTGTCACAGGACCCTGAAATTCAGCCTGGAGGCTGGGTGGGAGGGGGTGGTGTAGGCCCCAGAAGCTAGGGAAATCCACTGTAGATAGAAGGACAGTGACAAAGTGCTGCACAAAGAGGTCCGACCTTGTCCTAATTTGCACGAGCTAAATGGGCCCGTGCCCTTCAAAGGAGATTCACAGTGCCAGGCTTCAAGGGCTGGTTGCTAGAAAGAAGGAAACTAATCCGAAGAGGGAGTGAGGCTGCACCTTCCCTGTGGAGAGGTTTCCACAGAGCAGTAAGAGATGCAAAGAGGGATCCAGGGCAGAGGACCCAGTTTCCCTTAGGCAATGGCTGGTAACAATGCAGCATGACCTCGCCGGTGCTGTCTACAATAGTTTACCTCCGGGGTTGAATCCTCACCTGGGCTGATTTCTCCAGGAACGCTGCTAGTAATGAGCCTTGTGACAGTCTGTGTCCTTTCCAGCGGGACTGCTGCTCCAGCGTTCCTCAGCGTCTGCAGAGCTGCTCTGGGCTGGCAGCAGAGCACAGCCCCAAGCCTGTGTATTACTGCCGTGTGTTTTGTACAGGTGCAACACTGGATCCTGCAGTTGTCCTTGGAGCTGGAGTCCAGACTGATCAAGGACAGGAGCCAGGTAAGGAGAGGGACGTGGACGGCTTGTTTTCCCTGCTGCCTGTGAGGGGGGCAGGCTTTCAGGAAGCCATGCAGCACGTTTGCACTGTGAGCCATTTGCAGGAGGCTGCAGGGGGAGCGTGTGTTGGGGCAGCAAATCTGCCTGCCCTCGGACAGGTGGCTGTGTGTGAGGTGCCCTGAGCAAAGAGGTGAGCGAGAGCCCGGCCAGGAAGGAGAGCTTTGTCCTGGAACGCTGCAGCTAAGGATGCTCCTTGTCCCGTGCTTTAGGATGCAGGGACCTGAAAGCTGCTGCGTACTTATCCTCCCACACTGCCCCTGCAGTGCAGCTGCAAGCCCTCTGCTGGTGCAGCCTTGCCCATGCTGCAGGCTTTCAGAGGAAGTGAGCTGTGTTTAAACCCACAGATGTTAGACTGCAGGCCGGGGTGAGATGAATCTGTTAGCTTCGTTGCTGCAGGGAGGCCGAGAAAAGGTGCACAGCTGCCTTTGAAGAAGAACAAGGACTAAATGCTTCCCATCCTGTGCGCTGCAGCTGTACTGGATTTGCTGTCCTGTGTCTTGTCCATTGGAGATTAGGCCTGGCAGGACAAGCTGCCATCTGTCACATAGCATCAAGAGGTAGCAGCTGACAGCACAGGGCTCCAGGCAGCAAGACTGTCTCCTCAGCCTTCCCTGCTCTACCCTGTAGATGTCGCTTGTAACACGGCCGTGCCCTCTCTCTGCAGAACAGCCGAGTGGCCAAGCAGCTGATGGTGGTTATCCGCATGCAGGGAGACATCCGGCTGTCGCGCTGTTGTGCTCTGTCCCGCTATGATGCCCAGAAGATCAGCAGTGATGCCTTTTCCATCATCCAAAACTGTAACATGGCTGGGGCTCACCAGGCAGCCTGGTGAGAGCAGGAAGAAGTGGTTCATGTCCCTTTCAGGGGTTGCTCTGCTGCTGGGGTGCAGGATGAGGCAGGACCTGACAGATGGGAACAAGAGAGTTATGCTGACTGGCTGGAATGGGAATTCCCAGTGCACGCACAGCAGGGCACAGTGCTTGTTTGCTCTGCTTGTTTGCAGTAGGACAGCTGTGAGAGCCTGGCTCCTTTCTAGCCCCACATCTGGCCGGACACTGCTGACTTCTGTACTTGGAGTTGCTGCTGGCATGGGAATCTCCAGCTGGGCAGCTAGGGCAAGGCAGTCCCTGCTTTCCTCAGCCTGAGAACTAACAAGGCCTTGCTCTGCTCTTCTAAGGGCAAAGATGCTTGTTGGGAAAAGGCAACGGGTGTAGGAAGAACAATCAAGATCCGCAGCTGCTATATTCAACCTTACTCCCTCCTTTTCTGCTCTGCAGTGAAGGCTGAGGCATAGTTAAGGCAAGAGGGTGCAGTCTCTTAGGCTCTGACAAGCCTGCTGCTCCCTTAAGACCCTCTTGCCCTGACTGGGAGGGAGTCTCACAGCTGCTCCAGCCTGTGGTGGACTGAAAGTCCAGGCTGCAGGCCAGCATGCAGAAGGCCTGGGCTGTCCTGCTCCAGGGCCCGTTCCTTTGGGAAACGCTGCTCTGCTCCCCTCTTGGAACACCAAAGTTTTCTGTGCTGCCCAACCCAGCATACTGTGTCTGGGAAGAGAGACTGTTCTGGAGGTAGTAACACTGGCATTTTGTTAGAGGAAGCCTCTCTCTCCCAGCCCTTGCCAGATATCCAGACTAAGCTCTTTTGCAGCCCCTGCCCTGACCCCTGTCTGTGATCTTTTTTTATGCTGCTTGAAGTCTCACCTCAAAAGACTTTCTGCTTCCCAGGCTGGTGTGCGAGCTGACGTTGATTTGTTGTTCTTTGTAGGTCTCCGCCGCTTATATCGGTGCTTCTCTCTGCAAGCAAGTTCTCAGAAGCTCCCACGCTCCTCTCTGCAGGCATCGCCACCTTCCTGACCAGTGATACTCAGGCTGATGGCGCTGCCACCGCCAGCGCAAAGACCGCGTCTTCTAGGAGCCCGAGGGTCAAGTTCTTCAGGAGTCCAAGCAAAGAGCACAGACAGAAGCCGGCTAACGCTATTGAGTCTTTCTTCCAGAAGGCAGCAGAAAGGCAGCAAGTGCAGCTGCCCAGCCTGCCAGCTACCACCAGCACAGAGTCACCTGTGCCTGGCTCCCCGGAGCATCAAGTGAGAAATGGTGTTGGACTCGCCTCTGGGCAGTGCGACCTGGAGTCCCCTGTGAAGCACAGTCCCAGAGAGGGGAGCTCTACCTCTCCTTACAAGAGACTTCCCTGTGAAAAATCGCTGTCTGATGTTACACAAATGCCCTCGACCCCCCCAGACTCCAAAGTCCTTTTGAAATTAGAGCAAGCTACAGAGGAGAATGAGCAGAATTTGCCACCCTCTCCTGAGCTCACCCCATTCCCTCACGCCTCGCCGGGGGACCAGCAGTGCTGTGAGAAGTGTGGCCAGCACGTGCTGGCATGGGAGCTCCCGGAGCACATGGACTACCATTTTGCTGTGGAGCTGCAAAGCTCCTTCCTGGAGCCCAGCTCCCCCCCGGCTCCAGAAGCAGCTCTTAGCCCAAGGGCTGCAGCTTCCAGGTCTCCCGCCAAAGCCAAGAGCAAGCCTAAGACTCAAGCAGGCTCTAGTGCAAAACGACCTAGAGAAGGTGTGACAAGAACTTTAGATTTTTTCTTTAAACGCTTACCTCCTTAACTCCCAGCCACACTGGGGTTTTTAGATAATCAGTGTTTTTTAAATACAATTGAAAGTTTTTATACCGGCTGTCACGTTTTAATGCAGAAAAGTCTAATAAATTACCTCTACCCCAAAAGCAGAAGTGGAACTCACGAGTAGCGTGGTGCTGGATGTACCGAGCTTTGCCATTGATTGGGTAGATTCTGGTGGCAGCTAGCTCACCCCTGCTTGATGCTACCAGAAGCTGCATTATACTTTCACATACACCTCCTGCTATGGGTATTTCCATAGCTTCGCTGCGCCATTAGTAAATCTATTCCTATAGCTCTTTCCTGTGGTGGGACTAGCGTCTCCCCACCCTGTAATGTGGGAACTGAAGCACAGAGACAGTGACTTATCCCAGGAATTCTCTGGCTAAGTGAAGTCTCAAACCCCTATCTGTTTGATCAGTCTGAAGCCTCCACCTTGTGACTGTTCTCCTCTGGCTGCGCTTGTGGGGCTTGTCCTTATATATATATATATATATAATTTTCTTCCACAAAACGGAAGGATTTCTACTATAGACTGGCAATTCCCTCTGTGTAGCTGTCCTTTCTGTGCTGCCCGACTCCAGCGCACAGCACAGCTCTGGAGCGCACAAGTAAGACTACTTTAAAATAAAAAGCTTTGAGGAGGCTGGAGCTGCACTGCTGTGCTTTTGGTGGGCTTTTTGAGGTCCTAGCACAGTGGCTGATACTTGCTCTTGAGATACAAACTGCTTACTGCTAGAGTC